ATAGTCCGTTATATTGAGACATATTTTTGGCATAGAAAGTGATCGAATTGGAGAATGATGTCTGAATCAAAGTTGTAGCCAGATGGGTTAGCTTTCCAACGCATTTTGAATCGCCTCAATCGAATATCGGAATACAAAATTATGATAAAAATATTGAAGGAATGTACAGCTACCTGTTTAAAACAAGAAATTTCGTTACATAATCCGTTAAAACAACAAATTCCGTTAGTTTTTCCGTTAAATAGGCACTTTTTATATATAGAAAGATATGCCACGTACAAAGATTATCGTTAGTCTTCACAACAAATAAAATTAAAATATGGGTTTTGGATAATTGCTATGCACACGGTATGGGAAGCATTTGGAGTAAGGGAATGTTTGAGCTCCATTTTTGAATAGTATATTGATGGAAAACGTGTGGTTAAAAAATAAGGAAAATTTATGAATTTACATTTAATATTATTTTATTAAAAAATGTGTGATTGAAATGAAGTTAAACTATTATTCAAGAATGCCTTTTTTTTTTTTTTTTAAATGAGGCTCAAAGAAGACTTAATGTTTGAAGACTTGAGATATTTGTAATGTCTGTATTTACAATTTTAGATTTTTAAAGATAAAGATTTCATAGATCTAAGTTCTTGGTTTTCCTAAAAATCATATATTTAGTAAATTTTGTTAAAAATCGATAAAATATATGGTTAAAAAGTTAAAAACAAATTACGAGTCTTATGAAACTAATCAAAGTTGAACGTGTATTGCACATTATTCTGAAATACTGTATAAGTACTGTTAAAGTAATATTTGATATCAATTTATTGGGAGAATTTGATAAGTCTCAAACGAATTTAAAAAAATAAAATAAAATTTACGATAAAAATTGAAGAGAAAAAATTTGTACACTCAAAACTCAGTTTCTCTAATTCAAATTTTTTGTGATGATGAAACACTACAAATGAACAACATTTTTATAGAGCCTGTTTGGTGCACATTAAAATGAGAGAATTTATTTTTTTGAAGTGATGTGATGGAGAATATGTGGTTGAAAAAGAATGAAAAATTATTGATGTAATTGAAAATATTATTTTATTGAAAAATGTGTGGTTGAAAATGAATAGAAGAATGAGAATGAAAAAAATAATGTGGCTTAAACATGGACTATATTTGGTATATAAGAATTAATTGTTAATACATGAACTTAAACATTCATTAAAATTTCTAAATACATGAATATAAATAAATTCATTTATAATAACTCTAAATTTATATAGATTAAGATGTACCAAGTCAAGATTCAATGAATCTATATTAATTTGAATGTTAATTAATTGAAAACTAATAACACGAAATTCATACATGACATAGATTTTGTAATAGTTATTGCATATTGAGAAAAGAAAAGTAAGGTACTATTGAAATAATTTAAATGCAGTAAGGTTAAAATCGTCTAAAAATGATTCTCAATTGGTATGATATTTAATATATTATAGATGTGTAGTTGAAAATGAATTTGAGAATAATGAATTTTAGAAAATTGGGGTATAAAACGGACAAAAAGTTTGGTGTATTTCTTATGAGTAATGTTATTCAGTCACATTGATATTTAGTACAAGTCTAAGTGACTGCTATATTACATTAAATGATATAATTATTTAAATGCAAAGTCAAATAATTCATTTAATTTGACATATGAAATGTGATCACTTAGATTAGTACTTTAATACCACTAGTGTTGAATATTTCTATTCATTTATTATGTACATTTTCAAACTCTAAAAACGTTTGAAGAGATTTGATATAAACTTTTAAACTTATGTTATACTTTCTTTTTATGCATTTGTCATTTAGCCTACATTTGGTAGTGATTAAAATATAAATCAAGTCAACAATTAATTTTAAAAAATATATTCTATGGAATTTACAATTTTTTAGTTACAAATTTCATTAACTTTTATCAAAATTTACTAAAAATTTGATTATAATAGCCACCAAACACGAGCTTAATTTGTCGTATTATCTCGTACATATTGATTTTTTAGAATTTTCCTCGATCCTCGAAGACCCATTTAGGTTTTCAAGAGTTGAGAAGACATTCTACCATGTAGAATATTTCATTTCAAGATGCGTCCAATCTTATACCATAAACCATGGAACAATTGTCCAAGTTGTCATACCTCATTCGAAGGCCTTAACGGGTCGAACCTAACAAATCTTCTCTATGGGTACCCAGTGATGAGGGATTCAATGGGTACACGGGGCTCAAACTTAGTAACGACCACTGCGAACACCATGCGAGATGACAAGGTATGCTGAATGCGAGGTCCATAGGTCAACTACTTCACTTAAGTTGGAGTAACCACATGGCATGCAATCGAAGGCCTGTGTGATTTCTTTGCACATTTTGGGGATGCAACAAAAGTTATAGAGTGGAACACAACTACGATTTAAATTTAGAAAATATTTCATTATTTTCACTTAAGTTGGAGTAACCACATGGGCTTAATGAGATTTTGAGAAATGTGTATTTTGAAATAATAATTTTTTGAAGAATGTGCGGCTAAAAAGAAGGAAAAATTTTGAATTTACGTGTAATATTATTTTATTGAAAAATATGTGGCTGAAAAAAAAAGAGAAAAATGTATTAAAATTAAAATGGAGCCATTTTCTATATGAAACCATTCTTACAAGGATTTGAGAAGTTTTTCATTCTTCGAAAGCGTTTTCCTTCCCTTGCCGCATCTCCCTCCCTTCG